GGGGAAAAAGGCAAGGATCCCACTCTCCTGATATTGTACATTAAAAAACCCTGAAGAATCCACTCCAAAACTACTAGATCTAATATCTGAATTCAGCAAAGTTGCAGGATACATAATTAATACACAGAAATCTGTTGTATTCCTATACACTAACAATGAACTAACAGAAAGGGAAATTAGGAAAACAATTCCATTCACAGTTGCATCAAAAAGAATAAAATACCTAGAAATAAACCTAACCAAGGAAGTGAAAGACCTATACTCTGAAAACTACAAGACACTCATGAGAGAAATTAAAGAAGACCCAAATAAATGGAAATTATATCCCATGTTCATGGATAGGAAGAATTAATATTGTCAAAATGGTCATCCTGCCTAAAGCAATCTACGGATTCAATGCAATTATTATCAAAATACCAACAGCATTCTTCAACAAACTAGAGAAAATCATTCTAAAATTCATATGGAACCACAAAAGACCCTAAATAGCCAAAGCAATCCTGAGAAGGAAGAATAAAGCAGCAGGGATGATGCTCCCCAACTTCAAACTCTACTACAAATCCACAGTAATCACGACAATTTGGTACAGGCACAAGAACAGAACCATAGACCAACGGAACAGACTAGAAAGCCCTGATATAAACCCAACCATACATGGTCAATTAATGTATGATAAAGGAGCAATGGACATACAATGGGGAAATGACAGCCTCTTCAACAGCTGGTGTTGGCAAAACTGGAGAGCTACATGCAAGAGAATGAAACTGGATTATTCTTTAACCCATACACAAAAGTAAACTCGAAATGGATCAAAGACCTGAATGTAAATCATGAAACCATAAAGCTCTTAGAAGACAACATAGGCAAACATTTCCTGAATATAGGCATGAGCAACTTCTTCCTGAACACATCTCCTTGAGCAAGGGAAACAAAAGCAAAAATGTACAAATGGGACTACATCAAACTGAAAAGTTTCTGTACCACAAAGGACACCATCAACAGAACAAAAAGGCATCCTACACTATGGGAGAATATATTTGTAAATGACATATCCGACAAGGGTTAACATCCAAAATATATAAAGAACTCAAACGTCTCAACACCCAAAAAGCAAATAACCTGATCAAAAAATGGGCAGAGGATATGAAGAGAAAGTTGTCCAAAGAAGAAATTCAGATGGTGAACAGACACATGAAAAGATGCTCCACATCACTAACCATCAGGGAAATGCAAATTAAAATCACAATGAGATATCACCTCACACCAGTAAGGATGGCCAGCATCGAAAAGACTAAGAACAAATGCTGCCGAGGATGCGGAGAAAGGGGAACCCCCTTCCACTGCTGGTGGGAATGTAAGTTAGTTCAACCATTGTTGAAAGGAATATGGAGGTTCCTCAAAAAACTAACAGAAATACCATTTAACCTGGGAATCCCATTCCTTGTAATTTACCCAAAGAATACAACTTCTCAGACTCAAAAAGACATATGCACCCCTATGTTTATTGCAGCAGTATTTACAGTAGTCAAGATATGGAAGGAACCTAAGTGTCTATCAGTAGATGAATGGATAAAGAAGATGTGGTACATATACAGAATGGAATACTGGTCAGCCATAAGAAAGAAACAAATCCTACCATTTGCAACAACGATGGAGCTGGAGGACATTATGCTCAGTGAAATAAGCCAGGCATAGAAAGACAAGTGCCAAATGATCTCCCTCATTTGTGGAGTATAACAATGAAGCAAAATCGAAGGAACAAAATAGCACCAGACTCAGAGACTCCAAGAAGGAACTAGTGGTTACCAAAGGGTAGGGGTGTTGGAGGGCGGCTGTGAAGGGAGTGAGAAGGGGATGGAGTGGTATTATATTTAGTATACATCGTGTGGGCGATTGTGGGGAAAACAGTGTTGCACAGAGAAAGCAAATAGTGAATCTGTGGTGTCTTGCTGCACTGATGGACAGTGACTGCAATGGGGTATGGGTGGGGACTTGATAATATGGGTAAATGTAGTAAGAACATCGTTTTTTCATGTGAAACCTTCGTAAGAGTGTATATAAATAATACCCTAATTAAAAATTTAAAAAAGAAAGCATAGTACAGAGAAAGAATGTCGTGTAAGAACTCCTCAGTAGACCTGACATAGCTACCAAAATAAATCAGAGAACCTGAATTTAGGTCAACAGAAACTGTCCAAATTGAAAACAGGAAGGACTGGATAAACAAAAACAGAAGAGGGCATCCAAAATCTGCTGCTTAAAATCAAACAGTCTAATAACAGTGTAACTGAAATCTCAGGAGAAGAGGCAGAGAACAGGACAGAAGAAATATTTGAAAATAACGGCTAAATAAAATTTCTGAAAATAGTGAAACAAAGCAAACATCCAAGAAGCTCAGAGAACACCAGTTAGGATTAACACTAAGAAAAAAAAAAATCATCCAGACTTTGAAGAAAACTCTGGTTGTTCTGAAAAGGGCCATGGAAACAGAAAGAAAACATCTAAATGGTAACTTATGTGGGCAGAGTTTCCCTCATTTTCCTAAGCTGTGGCATCATTAACACACGCTCCTTTGATAACTAGCAGAAACATTAGTTTCTACCCACCAGAAACTAAGACCAATACTGGGAAAGGTGAGGGTTAAAGAATCGTGAATTGAACAAGATTATGTTTCTATTATCCAGATGAAATTAGGATTTATAACAGAAAGCTAATGGAATAACTGAAAATAAGCCTAAAGGTTTTGCAGAATTGAATTTGTGAACTAAAGATTTATACTAAGTACTTATGCCTTTATTTTTTTCAATAAGCATATTGTTCAAACAATTTCTTTAAATGAGCTCCAATTTGAACATACAGAAAGGTTGGATTCATATGTTCCATGTGGACAGGAACTATACTTATCTCATTTAATACTGTTCCTAGTAAAAAACAGTGTCTGTTACATGAAATGTTTAATATATTTGTTAAATGAATGAGTATGCTATATGTTTTTGGAAATGTAAAATTTTTCATTAAACTGAAAGCCCCTTTTAAGGAAATTATTCTTACATTTATATATTGTGTATTATTTTTGTATTTGGCTTTCTTGAAGGATCCATGCCTAAATCAAGACCTTTTATTCTTTAGTATTAAAATGAATACATTATAGTAATATGACAAACTGGGAAAAAGTTCAGGGCATAGGAGAATCACAACCATACATCACCATTATGATTATATAACATTTCAACAAAAATAGATATGGCAAGTTCTAAAAAAAACCCAGCAAACAAAAATGGTTTCATTTACATTTAGAAAAATGGTTTGATTACATTACATTTCATTTACAAGTTCTCATTCAGTGTCAATTTTGATTCGGTGTGACTCTTTTTGTATGTATGTGTGTTTATAGCAGGTGCGTTAATTACTCAGAGCCAGGAATAACATCTTAACTATATGGATCCTCCTCTGTTTATTCCACACTTTAACTAAAGACAAGATAATGGAGAACTGGAAGTGAGACAAAATCTATGTCCAAAAAGCCAAGAGCAGTATCACCAGATCAATGAACTTCATTTAAGCAAGAATGCCTTGGGCTTTCACTCAAGACTCTATTATTTCATTTAATTTACATACAGGCAAAGCCCACAGAGTAACAACTGTTAAGTCATTTAAATAAATTAACAGCCTCCCCACTCCATAGGAACACAAGGAAAACACAGGTCTTTAAAAATGTCTAAACATTTCTCAAAAGTATTACTGATAGACTGTCTTTACTGCAGGGTAAGAGTTTGGAAACTAGACCCCTGCTACTCAAGAGTGGTATCTAGAATGATAGCATCATCTGGGAGCTTGTTACAAATGCAAACTCTTGAGGTGCACTTGGAACTGCTTTATTTTAATCCCATCCCCAGTTGACTGGTATGAATAATGAGAAGCACTGACCCAGATATAAGAATGAAAGATAAACCAGCCAACTTCTAATGAGTAGAACATATTTGCAATAAAGGTAATCTAAATTATAATCATGCTAAAGCAAACCAGCCTTAAATACATACCCATCTTCATAGTTCCACATGAATATGTCACTGTCAATTGTGAGCCAAGCTCTGCTGATAGGAGGGAACACACCCATCATGCAGTTACACTGCATATCTGAGGTAGAATGGATGTAAGGGAGAAAGATTTCAATCTCATCTTGTTTCAAAAGATCGTGATTTAAACTTTATGATTAAAAAATTATCATCTGTCCACTCTTTAATAGAAAGAGCAAATCAAATGTATTTATTTTCAATAGATTTCATTAAAGTCATATTGTATGACTGCCTTGCCTGAGGGTTTCAGCCCCCGGGCAAGTTCACTATGGATTCAGTGAGACTGAGAAAAGACAATGCAACGTTCTTGGGGTAAAAGGGTTTATACCCTGTTTTATTCTTCCGACTATAGGTTGAGCACTAGAATAACACTGGCATCCAACAGTCTGCAGGTCTGTAATAATCCTTCTCGGTTTCTGCCTCTACCCAGAGTACTGGGCAGAGCTCTTTATATAGTGATTCAGTGCCTACGGGTGTGGAAGCAGGAGCCTAGTATTAAGCCAATTACATTATCAAGTAGTTTAGGGTCAGGTGATGATCCTAGCCACAAGAACTTCCAGTTTCCCCACAATGACAGATATTTAAAATCTGTAATCTAAATAATGCTATCTGACTTGAAATGTATTCTGAAGGAGAAATGGTAATGTTCTTACCATTACTAACTTTATAAAGAATAACTTGATTATGAAAAATACCATTGAACTTTGACATTAAAAAACTTTTACTGAACCAATTTTTCCAATTATATAAAAAGCAGAACAGCGATAAAAAAGCACACAGTACTCTAAAGTCATAGTTAAGTGACAATTTGCAAGCCTTTTATCAGTAGTACAATTGAAAAAACAAAGAATTATGTTATGAATTACAGTCTAAGATGATGAAACAATTGTGAAAAAATAAATATCCTAATTAAAGGAAATAGTTCTTGTAGACTATTACGAGGACTTAAGAAGAACATTAAGAAACTAAACAAGGATAGAGTATGAGATAAGGTGCATTATATATTTAATGACCCTATTTTACAAAGTCTCAGAGAAACACTGAAAATTTTAGGGAAAATATTGTTTAAATTTTACCTTTTCTATTTATTTTTATAAACATTTTCCACTTCTTAAGTTACACTATTGATATATGAAACCCTTTTACTCTAAATAGGTTAACATACTTACAGATGTTTCAGATTAAATTTTAATATAGCATCTTGATTTCTTTATTATGAGGGCTAAAGATACATTTCTCGGCAAGTAACTATAACTCTAGTGTTTTTATAGGGTATGCCACACCTTAAGAAAGTCAAATAAAGTACTTCTTTTTAGAAGGTAAGAAAACTCCTCTAGCTACTTAGTCTATGAAGATGCCATTAGTGTTTCAGTTTCTTATACCTTTAGATACAGATTCCAAAATGTTAACTGTGATCCTGAGAAATGCAATCACTTATAAACTTCAATTCTAAGACACTAGTATGTGTAAAACTAGTCCCAAAACCTTTTGGGGGCAAAAAAACCCCTGTAAGTTCTTGTTTTTAAATATTTTTTTAGATCTCTATCACAGCTTTAAAATGCTAAAGTATGGGGAAAAATACAAATGAAAATCATAGGTCTTTAAGCTAAAAAAGTGCGGTTGAAAAACTTCCTGTATAGCATTTAATTGTAAAGTAATACTTTGCAATATCATCAAAAACGCAGAGTTCCTTGTAAAAAAATTCTCTCTCCTCAATGTCCCAAAACAATTAAAATGTGACTCAATTTTCAAAATTCCAATTTCTATGATATTTTCTAGGCACATGGCAAACTACCTATGTAAATTTTAAATAATACCCATAATTGAACTTATATATAACACATTAATTAAAAATGTAATAAGAATATCATTAAAAAATTTTTTTAAGGAGTTAAATACAAATAGGATACGTCCAAACTGTTCAACAAGTTCAGGTGGGAGAGGAACTCTTCTGATGGAACTTATTTCTGGAAGGTTGGGTACTGACAGCAAACCAGGTCCTTGCAGAGGATAATCCATATCTGACATACCAGAAACAGTGGGATGGTCTACAAAAAATAAAATGAAGCATTTATTTAAAATAGTAAGGTATTGGACATCAACTGGGCATACAGAATCACTGGAAGTTATAAAAAAAATAGTGCATCTGGTAGTTATAAAGGTATTGAAAATAAAGTAGTTCTGACCTAACATAAGGGAAGCCTAAGAAGTTCCAATGTTAATTGCAGGGGCAACTACTGATTTCAGCACTGAAAAAGTAATGTTTCACAAAGACTTAATAAGAGGAAATTTTTAGTTTAATGATTTAGTGTTTTTCTCCAATTTTCTAATCTGAAATGGGAAAATATTTATAAAACCACTTTGTGATTCTCAGATAAAACTGTTGTGGGCAAACAAAATATTGATTGGGGGAAAACTGCTATTTCCTTTCCCACTAAACATATTAAAACAATCCATGCCTTTTTGTGTTAGATTCCACCTCCTTCCACGTGACCAATAAATACAAATACCACAGAAGCAATGTTTTATTGGGGAGAAAAAAGAGACTGCTCTATAAAGTGTCTCATTTGGCAACTTTTCTCTTGCTCTAACACCCACACATTAAGAGGAAGAGGGGGTGTTCTATTCAGCTTGTCCTTCCTGGTCTTGAACAAGGTGTTCAGATATGATGACCTGTTTAACCCAGGTACCTTTTCAGGCTCTCTAAAGAACAAAGATTTGGGGAAAACTGACATATAAAACAATTTTTAAATGTATTATAGAAATTTAAAATATATATACAATGAGAGAAAAATGCAATTAATCCCTGTGTACTGATAACGTTACTTCAACAAAGAACAATAACATGCCCAATCGTATTTCATCACTCTTTCCCTAATGGGATTTTTTTAAAGCACATTCCAGACATTGCATTTAATCTTAAAACATAATTGGTAATAGCACTTTGCATGTGTTAGATGACAGTGGGCACACAAAGGATGGAATTAATAACTCTGATGAGGATGTGAAAAAGGTTAAGTAAGACTTCGCAAAGAAAATCTTCACAAGAAAAGTGTTATTTAAGGGAGTATGGAAGAATCATTTGTCAGGCAAAGAAAGAACATTCCAAAAATGAAATCCTGGAGACGGGGCTTCTTATGGAAAACGTGTTATATTCAATGCGATTGAACAAGGGGACTGATGATGGGGTGGAAGAAGGGACAGAGATTAGGCTGAAAAGATTATGTGGTGGGAAGGTGAATAGGTAGGACTGGGTCAATAAGGAACAGAATGTATGGACTGTTTTTTTTTTCATCTTGCTTTCCAAACCTAAGGAGGTCGAAGGGAGTAATGCTGTTCAAGGTAAGGGTTGCTAACAGATAACTCAGTTCTTGTAGGACAAGCCCCTTTAGTTAGTTGTCAGTCAAATATTATCTTTTCTCGGATTATGAGTCTACTCAATTAACAATTTTTAGAAATCGTTGAAGTCTCTTTTAGGGTGCACTGCACAGATTTTCCTACTTATTTTTACCTTGATTCTTGCTTACCTAAAATCTTGTCTCTTACACTTCTGTTTTTCTCCAATATCCTCTCACAAAAGGGTCACTTTTTTCTATCCACTTATGTTATTCCATATTCCTTGAGGAGCCTGGCCATAATTTAAAACCGTTAAACAAAGTATTTTCCAGTCAATTCTCTTGTTAGTACAGACTGCCTTACCCTCCTTGTCAATCACTGATTTCCCTGTTCTCTTCCTTTATTCCACTGGTAGTTCTTTTCAGCACCATCCGGCACTTCGTGTTACGCTAACTCTACACATAATAAAGCTTATTTCTTAGAGAACATGATGGTCAATTTCCAAATTAAGTCTCATTAACAAGAATGAGACTTGGATCTGGTGATCCTCATCTGGCGTTAGAGATAAACAGTCGGAGGCAGGGAGCTCATTAAGGTTGGGGTCTTTGCCTCTGCTTCAAATGGGAGGCTGCTCTTCACTCTTGCCCTCTCAAGTATCTACAATGAAGAAAAAGCCAGGAAAAAAATTGAAAATAGGTTTTTTCGCCCTTCAGAATAAGCAAAACAAGATGTCTTCTCTGGGTCCACCCTGGGGATAAGGACCTAGATAGGGAATCAGGCAAGTGTCCTTTAGGCTGAGAAAGCAGAGCCACCAAACGGGTACCGATCACTTACTTGGGGCAGACACCATGAGGAGCTCGGAAAGGTCTGGGTACATGCGGTCCTCTTGCAACTGACGGTCGATGAGCCGCCCCGCATTTTCCAGAGCTTCCTGCAGGGCCGCGGCCGACGCAGAAGCCGGCATTGCTGAGCTCAGCAAAGAAGACGGCATCTCGAAAATCCGAGACACCGCCGTCCGGAAAAAGTCAAAAACCTAGAAAGAGAGAAAACCCAAGACCCGAGTTTGACCCACTGTTTAGAGCGCGCGCGCCAAACCAGCGCCTCGGCGCCTGTGCATGACGCACTTCCGGCTCGTGTGGTGGGGAATTTGAAGATGCAGTTTTGGAGCTGGGGAGAGGAAGTTGTGCGTGCTGGACGCTAGGGGTGGGGCGAGCAAAGCGGAAGGCTTTTCCGGGAGGGCTGGGTGTTTGCCAGGAGGATGGGGGACGGGGGAGTCGCGGAAGATGGTTTTGGGAGGGAAGGGGAAGGAACGGGATGAGGTGGATAGGGGAGGGAAGGGAGGAGAGAATAGGGGTCGGTCGAGTAGGAGCCGGGTAGCGCGGGGACCGCGCGAGCTGCTCCGCTAACCGTGGGTTTAGCGCGCGCTTGTAGGTGCTTGGAGCTTATGTCGGAATCTCTCAGCTGCCGCTGTTGAGAGAATGCGCGTCAATTTATTTGGCGCTCCAAATAACTTAACTTCTGATAATGGATAGGAACTAGTAGCTTGTTGTCAGTTTACATATTTTACTACATTTTTTTTATGGGCTTCAGTGTAAATGAAAATTATCAGGCTTTTCTGTCTGTGTTTGACTTTGACTTTGTCCTCTGTTTGACTTTGTGGTCCTTCAAATGTGAAGTAGTATGTGTTTACAGAATTATTCGTTGCGTGCAGGGGACTGTTACCTTGCTTTATTTCCCACTGCAGAGAGGAAGCCAACGGTTCTAAGTCATTTCATCTCCGGCATAGTAGAGGGACCGGTATAAAGTAGGCTACGCAATAGATCACCCAGTCGTTCTACGGAAACTGAATTTTTAAGTCGTGTCAGGCATTGTGCCTGCTGCTGGGAATATCAAACTGAAGTAACACTCCCGTCTTCAAATGCTTCATGCAAGGACACACAAGCAAAACAAATTGCAACACCATGCTTTTGCTATGGGGCATGTATTAACTACAGTAGAAGAAAAAAAAATGAGAGCAAAAAAGGCTTCATTTCATACAGAAAGCAATGTGAGTGGTTAAAGCACTCTTCAAAGAGCACTCCTTATTTAAAACTATTAAAATTAGTCCTTATTTAAAATCTCACCGAAGTAAATTTCATAAGGTTATTTTCTTCATAGTTTAGCAAGTCAATAGCTGACTTTAAATTAGTCTTTTACTATTTGAATTACTTTTCTCCTTCGAATAAAGGGTTAACTAAAATACAAAAAGTTTGTGACATTACAGATCCATTTGTATAATTTAAGACCTCACAGCAAATATACCAGGAAAAATTACATTTGTATTATTGGTAGATTAATAGGTAGATGGATCTCCAGCTGCCAATTTTATTTGGTGGATCACAGCAGATTGATGGTCTGGCACTTTGTGTGATTGTTTTTATTTTGAGAGAATATACAATTGAAAGTTTTCAATATTACAATTGGAATATCGAGCAATACTGGCCTAATATTCCTAAACAGCAACAGCATTCCCAAGAGTTGACATCCAACGACTTCCATTCATTTATATATTGCCCGTGGCTGCTTTCCAGCTACAACTGCTGAGTTATGTAGTTGCTGCACAGACCACATGGCCTCAGCCTAGAATATTTATCATCTAGCCTTTTATGGGAAAAGTTTGAAGTCTTGTCTAGGATAGCAATTCTAAAACCTTTTGATCTCAGGACCTCTTAAAAATTATTAAGGATTCCGAGTGTTTTGTGTGGGTTATATTTGTTAATAATTGCCAGTGTCTCCTAAAAATGAGAAATTTAAAAAGTCATTTAAAAGAATAATAATAAGCCTAATCCATATTAATATTAATAAAATATTTTATGAAAAATATTTTTACACCTTGTATTTTATTTCTTATAAATAATGGCTAATACAAGAGAAAAAGTAATTGTAGTACCCTACTCTTTTAAGATACCAACTGAAACTTAAATGCTGACTCACTCCATAAAACAGGGAACATTTTCCTAGCACTGTTGTGGGCATTTATTTAAGTTTCCTGAACCCAGTGACATCTAATAATATTACTTATCAAACAGAAAAACCAGATTTTACTACTGTTCCCCACAGCTGGAATATTCCATAAATGATATATTTTCTCTATATGATAGGATTCATTGACTCAAACAAGAATATAACTACTAAAATCCCTACAAATAGCATTGCAGACTGGGATCCTGGCTACTTCTAGGGGTTATTAAGTGGCATACCAAGGGATATTGCCAAGGACATGGTGAATATGCTCCATTTTTCCAGAGAACAGTGCTTATTTGAGCTAAGGAATCACATATGTATTTTTCAAATATGTTAAATGGAAGCTTTTTGCCCCAAAGGAAATACACAGAGAACCTCAAGATAGAAAGCAAGTTTAAGGAAACTTCATTAACAATAGTAGTTGGCTGATGCGCATTCTCCGTCCTCATAGTTCCTGGAGGGGTGTGGCCCCTTCTCTCCTGGTGTCCTGGTGTGTCCTGTGGAAATGCTTGGCACACCAAGCTTCACTGTTCAAAGACTTTGAATCTCAGTTCAAAGACTGGGCTCCTCCCTGGGTCACAAAAGTGTCTACAGGGGAATCAAAGAGCCACCCACATTGTGTGACCCTGCTTCCCTGTTTTTCAAGTATATGACAGTCAGAGGTAGCATACGCAGTCTTTTATGCTCAAGTCCAGCTCTTTGAATCTAAATTTTTCTGACTTTTCAGTCTTTTTGGTTGCAGTAAATTTTGACAGATCATTATTTCCACTGGCGTTAATGTAGCTCTCAAATTCTGTAGCATCTCCATATTTAGAGCACAGTAAACTGCCATATACCTTCCCAAACCATGAGAAAGTGTTGAATGTTCCCAGTGTCTTGATCCCTAATCTGATTTCTGAATATTCTGATTGTTTTCGTTTTTTGTATGTTCTTCTGCTTGAAGAAGCCACTTGACCCAGTATTGGGAGCAGAGTTGTGTCCACAAAAAGTGGGTGGACAGGGAGGGAATCCATGTTTGTAGGCCACCACAACTAATCCATTCTGGACCTGGAAGCTGTAGTTGGCATCATGGTTTATGGCACCAGTGTATGCCACAACCTGTAGTGGATTGTCAAATGTATTGCAGATACCAGGTTCGGGTTTCTCTGTGTCTTCCAATCAATCACACACAGCTTTCTCTGATACTCAGCTCCAGTCCAGCAGACCCACATACTTGAAGTTTTATGTTGAACTGGGCTTTCAAGAGCTCACACATCACCAACATCTTTCAGGATATGTTGGACACTTTCTATGTAGCCATGTTCAAAGAGATTTTTATCTCTCTTTTAAGTGCCCTGAGGTGAAAATATGCTTTCCAAGACTTCAGGAAAGCATTTCCCTTGAGAAATATGTTTGAAATATATTCTGCAAAGCCGTCCTCTCCCATTTCCACAATCATCCACTGTTTCCACCTCTCCAAATAAACAGCTGTTCTGATGTCATGGTTTTTCTGAAGGACCCGGGTTGCACTTGTTATCATTGTCTTTCGCAAAGGAATTTTCAAAGGCATTGTAGGATCACTTGCTGCATTTGGTTTTATGCTTCTTTCTGGATTGAAGAGAGGAAACCAATTTCCTGGAACTCTTGCTTCCTCAGCTTGCTTTGGGAGCTTACACTTACAGATCCATAGAGTAAGTCCTCCTCAAACGATTCTGGAGTCTGAGCATGGTCTTTGAATGACAAGACAGACGGTACTATGTGAGTTTTTTCCTTGGTCCACTTCATCATAAGGGTTCACTTTATTCTTCCAGCCACATGAATAAGAGTAAGTGGAGAAATCCTCTCAGTGGGCTGATTCTACAGAAAACCTCTTCAAACTTCTGAGCTGCCTGCAGATGGTCTGAAATGCCTTCATCTTTAGATAGTTTTTCATTTCCCTCTAGTCTTCCTGCAACATTGAGGGCCTTTTTTATTTTTGCATTTCTTAGAAGCCCCCATGCTTTGCTTAACTTCCAGAGTGTGAACAACCTCTCCAACCTGTACTTTCATTGGTTCCTGCTGTATTTTCTAAAACTAAAACATTAGTGAGAAGAGTGGCATCGTTTTACACTTTTGCATATCTCTTAACTGTCTGGCTTAATAAGAGATAGCTAGGTTCTCATATCTGCATTTGCCATCAGTAATGTGTGATATGTTGTTCAGTAGAAGTATGTGAAGATGGGAGAAGGATTTTAACAAGCTTTTTAGACACTTGTGAATATCCTCTGATAGTGTACCTAAGCTTGACAAGAGGTAGTTTCTTAATGATTAGTTGCCAGATAGAATTTGAAACCATTATTGATTTTTTAAACTCAGTTAAATTAAAATCCACTGGTCAATCTTGTACTTTGGATCTTTTATCCATGCATGATTCTGTACCATTATGGGCTGGGCATTTGGGAAATATTGGTTCTCTGAGTTATGCAGAAATTCCAAGTTGACGTATTTCATTAACCAACAGAAAAAAATGATCATGTTAATATTATTACCTTATCAGAAAAATCATTTAAGTATTGGAAACTGTCAAGCTTATGGTGTTTGATATGTTTTTCAAGATTCTATTTTTCTCTTGAAAGCTCGAACTTTCATTAGCAACATGTACAGTGAGTTGTTTTCCTTGAAGTGACAAACTCATTCATTTTTGAGGAAATGTTTACCAAGTACTTAAATATGAATAACTACACTTAGTGAGGTATACTTTCAAACAGGAATGGTATTACATGAAAAAAAGCTAACAACTCAATTGCATAAATGGTTTTTTTTAGACAACCAACATACTTTGATATACTTCAGAAGTGCTTTATCAGTACTTCTCATTTTGTTACACAATGTATTCAAAACACTTGTACTCAAGGGTCAAGATTGAATCAAATTAATAATGTTATGGCTTTAAACGGACATTTTTAAGGGAAACTGTTTTGTTTTCCAGTGGCTATGTAACAGTGAATAATACAGTTACTACAACAGTTTGCCTATCACTGTTTTGATTTACATTGATATACCAGCAGTTTTACCCATTATTGCTTTTGCATCACCAGTGCAAATGTCAATAGAGTGAAAAAGGCAAATGACACCTTAGTATTATTATG